CCTGTGACACTCTGTTGGCTTCTGTTAAAGGAGTTAATGCTAATTAAGTAGTGTCAATTACCTAGCCTCTAAGATTCACAGGTATGTGACAAGTGAGGCAAGGCAAATATAAAAGCAGTACATTCCCAGAGATAACTAGGACCCAGGAAAAGGAAGTTTCCATGGCAGCTCAGGAAGAAAGCCAAAAATGACTGTAGTTCATCCTGCCAGGAAGATGAAAAAAAATTTTATATCTGTATTTGTAATCTGCAGGACTTTTTGTCTTCCTACCTGAAGTGAGTGATCACTACATGGGTATCAGCAGTGAAGCTGAAAGGGATTGAGAAACGATTACTCTCTGTTTTATAGAAAATGAAATGGTTCTAAACAATAATTTGGGAAAGAGGCAAAAAAAAAAGATTACAAGAAGGCTGTCCTCAGTCACACTCAAGGAACTGAATCACCTCAGCAGAAAGAACAAATGATTAGAAAACTAACACAAAAAAACTAGTAAGGCAATTGACTATTCTGGAGTACAGACATATAAGGCTACATAGATTCTTCCCAGATCAATGACAGAAACTGAAGGATTTAATGACTCTTCTCCACATTTTCCAAAGTAGGATGGTATTATGATGTGTTCTCCTTGTGAAAGTGACAGTTTTGTAAAGACATGGATCTATGAAGCACAACTAATTATGCAGATGCTGCTTAAGAACAGTATTTTATGTGATGACTTATGACACTAGAATGACTGTATTCTTGGAAAAGTGTTAACGTAGTTCAGAAGAACCGAAAGATTATGCTTAGCAAGCCCCATAGGTATGATTAAGGGACTATAACTGAAGTCAAAGAATAAAAAAGTCCTCAGTTATAACTACAAAACTGTAACAACAACATGACAGGGGGAAAAAAACAGAGTGGAAGAACTAGTAGTAATCATAAGAGAAGAAATATAAACAAATAGAAATCAAATTCAACAGTCTAAAAAAAGTGGGCATGTATGTGTCTGTGTATATGTATTTGTATAGAGCAAATCTGAAATTTCAAAATAAATAAATCTCAGATATTGGTAACACTTAGTAGAAAGGAATTCATAAACAGAAACTGGCATTTGAAAGGCATTCTTAGAGATATTACAGTATTAGAGTGGAAGGTGGAAGACACCTATAAATTAATACATTACACACATACATGAAAATTTCTGAGCATGGGACAGAGGAACACCTAAATGAGGCTAAAAGAAGGCAATCGTTATATATCAGATGGAGCATACCTTTTGGTCACCTGACCAGATGGAAGGTTTAGACCAGGCTTTCCTAAATCATGTTGCAAAGCAGCACAAGGATAAAATAAACAGCTATGATGGAGGACATTACCTATTCATATGCACTGGCAGCTTAATTTTGCTCAAATCCGAAAATCTGAAAATCTTGCTGAAAATTTCATCCTCAAACAGAAGGTAGCAATGAAGGGTAATGATTTAACTATTTCATATTTAAAGTTAAACAAAAGATAGAACTGAATGCAGAAAGTGATAGGCGCTCTGGTTGTGACCATGACAAAGATAAGACAATCCTGGGCACTGTTAAACATGTAGTTGTAGGTGGATATTTTGACAGTCACTCATGATATGCTTAGCAAACAGGAGAAATGGTGGGTTTAAAGATGGCTTAATAACCATAATCCAAAGAATAATGACTCCAAAGATAGACTCATGCCAACCTTGAGGGAGACCTCTACTTACTAGGTCTATCTTGGTTTGGTCCTATGAAACATTTTAAAATCAATAACTTGAAGAAATAGGTGCATATCTACACATTTTCAGGTGACACAAACTGGGAAGGAAAGTTAATATGCAGGATAAAATAGTACACTCAACCAATACTGGTTGAGCACCTTTGTAAGCAAGGTGTTAAAGTGAATATAAAGGTGAATCAAGATACAGTTCTTCCTCTCAGGGTTCCCTTTCCAACAGGGGAGATAAACATATGCATAAATTTTCATAAAACAAGATATGGAGTGGCAAGTTCCATAAAAAATACAGACAAAGTGGTTGGACAGATCAACGACTTGTAGCTATATGTGTTGGTTGGGTCAGAATCTGGGATGATTTAGTGTTCAGAGGAACACATCAGATGAGAAGAATTTGGACATGTAGTAATCAAGAGAAGAGGCGGACTCAAGGTGGAAAGGAATGGAGCTTATATCAAGAAGAGTCAGTGGTATTGTCTGAAGAACGACATGCAGGACAGGGAGCAGCAGGAAACAAAAGTTGGGTAGTAAGATTCTGGGATACAAGTCAGCACAATAAACTATAAATGGTAAAATTAAATTTAACTTGGATAAGCTTGCTGTATTAGGATGGCAGTGTAAAGATGTTGCTCCCCTTTTCCTTTTTGAATATTACCCCCAAACAAGGCAAAAAGAAATAGAATACAAAATCCAATTTTAATGACTAAGAGGCATATATGAACCATAATACCTGGAAATTAAAAGCAGAGAAAAGAATGACTGCTGACTTAGCATAGCATAGGAAAGCCAAATTCAAGTGCTTGAGGAGTGGAATACCACAAAGCAGCAGCACTTCCAGAGCCTTGGAAATGTTTAGGAATTAAAAACACCCCGTGCAAAGGCAGAAGTGAGGCAAACGACTGAAATCAGGAAAACAGGGCAAAAAACAGGCAAAGTCTGAGGCAGAAGAAACTGAACCTCTGCTTCCACTAAATGATACCAAGCAACGAGGATGGGCTGAAGTAATGCCAAGTGCTACAACTAGAACTAGATAGTTTTAGATAGAATGAGATAGTTAAAAAAAATAAAACTAACAATTTATTATTTACTTATATGTTTAAAAATGATTTTAATGATGTTACAGTGTAAAGTATTTTTAAACAGTTCTTCATGAGAAGAAACTTGCATTTTGACAACTTTTTAGTCTGAAAACAACAAGCTGGTATAAAAAAAAATAAATCTGTCACCAAAACCTATCAAAAGATAAAATGACCTGGAGAAAAATACAAGCATTTTCATTCATAGGAAACTACTATGTGCCAGGTATTATTCTAGGAACTGGGAATAGGGCAGCACAGAAAAAATTCCTTACCCTCCGGGAGTTTACATTCTAATAGCAGTAGAGACACATAGTATGTAATATATGTTAGTATTTACATATTATTGGATGGTTAGATGAAGAAAAATACAGCAGGGTAGTGGTGAAAAGAATGAAGTCAGAGAGAAGGTAACATCTAAGTTAAGATTTGAAGGAAGTGAGTGACCAAACTATGATGATATCTGGGAAAAAGTGTTTCAGGCAAACAGAATAGCTGATGCAAAGGCCTGAGACAGGAGACTGTCCATGTATTTATTCAAGGAACATTAAGGAGGCCAATAAGACTGGATCAAAGTGAGTGAAGATACGAGATCAGAAAGGGATTAGGGGAGCTAAATTGTATAGCATCTCATGGACCTGGGAAGGAGTTTGGCTGTTATTCCTAGTGAGATAGTAAGTCATATGATCAGAATAATGAACATTTAAAGAATCACTTACACACATACATGATATATATGATTCTGGAAAGCAAAAGAATTTGTTTAAATAATTAAAAACAAAAGTAAAAACATCAAGTAGTGTCTGGAACCTTCACTAGCTAAATAAACCTAGTACCTCAAAATAAGTGTTTAATAAATATTTGTAGAATTATGTATTTAACATTTAATATTACTTATTTAATAATTATGTGGAATTATTATTTAAGAAGTTTTTATACTGACATGGAAAATGAGACTTTTTGAAGTTCGTACACAACCAGAGGCAATGTATTAAGAATATAACATTTATCCTGAAATACAGTCCTTTATCAAAGAGTTCAAGGCATTCTTAAAGATATTATCACATAGCTTCTCCTAATTCATATTTTATATATATTAGCCAAGAGGATGCCAAAGAAAGTGTTCCAGAGTCACTCTGAAACTTTTTCTTTTTTGTGTGAAAGGGTCAAATACAGTTTTTAACAGTCCACATTTTAAGCACAGTTTAAACCTTCTTGTATTCTAGCTTAAAAAATTTATCATGACTCACAAACTAGCTCTATTCTATTCTTATTAACTAAAGAACTTTATGTATTTTCATTCCAAATTCTACTTTATTTTTCTAAAGCCTAGAACCTAGGTTTTGACTGTCAATGAAGAGTTCTGAAAGTGGCAAATCTACTTCTGATAGCTAGGAAAAGTGAATGTGCTTTCTTCTCCGTATTGTCACCACTGTAGCTTCTAAATGAGCCAATCTACTCTTTCTGGTTGTCTGGTAATACTTGTTTTAAAATCATTTTGGTGATCAATAATGCCATGGACTGCAAAAAGAACTGTCCTTCTTTAACATTAGTACTTACTATGCCTGATAATAGAATTTGACCAAGACAATAACTTTTTAATTGGGCATGATGATGGACAGTACTGCAAAAGGACTTTCTACAAGAATGAAAAGCAGTTAAATTCTGTTCTAGACAATTGCAAATAGTTCTGATATCATACCATGTAATGATTTCTTAGAAAAAATATGAATTCTGAAATCATATAATATTAAAAGCATTATTTTACACAGCCAGTAAGAGATTTATACTCTTTTCTTTGAACCAAACCATTACACAGATGAAATTCAGAATAAAAATACAAAAAAAAAACCCCCATTATTTGGGAATTAAAACCATATGATTGCCCAAATGATTCCTTTCATTCCTCTGATACACCCAAGATTTACAATGATAACTTTACAGAAAGCAAAAAACCCATATACATCTACATTAAACTATGTTAATTTGAGGTGTGAGAAATATTTTAATTATATTTGACTTCTTGCTTTTTATCAGGGCCATTAATTAGACACAGGAAAGAAGTAAGAGAGTAGAAAACTTGGTCACTCGGTTTAGTTCTCTCAGAGTGAAAAAATAACAAAGAAACCTCCTGGGTTAAGAATTTCAAATGGGGCTGCTAGACAGAGAAGACAGACCAAATCGGCTTACCACTTGAACCATTTTGAGATATCTGGCATATCTTGGATCCTTGGCTACAGTTAAGATATTTTCTGGTGTTACTTCACTTTCCTGTGGTCCAGAGTCTTGTAAACTGTTCTGCTGTAGAGAGCATTGCGTGTAAATCTTTAGACAATTCACAAACAGGGTCCATCATGTTATTTAAAGGGAGTTTCTTTTTATAATTCTAAAGCAATCAATATCAGAAAAATCATTATCTTTAAATTTAAATACCAGTAATTTAACTATGAGATGTATGTTTCCAAATATTTACAGATACTTAAATATGATTTCAGAGGAAGCTACACTTAATATCAACACTGTATTGTTCCTTAAAAATGCATAATATATTCATGGTATTTAAAAAATTAGAATTGTGCTTTATTTGTCCCCAGAGTGCTGATATAAATTATAGATGGACATATTATCTAAATAAAATTTTTATTTAAATTATCTAATCTGTCAATCGTTCAACTCTAGAGGACAGTAAATTGAATTTCTCAGTCTCTACCAGCTACACAATTCGATTCCTCTTTGGAAATAAATCTTATTCTACATGGGTATGGTTATTGTAATAGCCTAGAAAGCAATGCCTGGAGAAATCTGTGAAAGAGGAGCCCATTTTTCAAACAAAATTATCTGGTTTTGTATTATTTTAGATACTAAGGGTACTATATATGGTAACATTCTCCACAGAGTGCTTATGACTAAATACTACTTACAATGAAGAATACTGGGCAATGGTCCAATGGTCTTTTTAGATAAAAATGTTATTATCACATAGGCAGTTCTCATTCTGCATGGTACCTACTGAATGAAACTTGTCATACTGGAACCCTGTCCTCACTTAAGTGCAAAGCTAGTACTATCTGTATATACAGGTCTTGATTTTCCTGTTAATTTCAACATTAGGATAAGTTTATTTTTGTGAATTCTCACTCATTATCTGTATATTAGAATCAAGAGGAAGTACTTAAGAGAATGAAATAAATTTTACGTCTACATATCTATGCTGAAATGTAGAGAAATCAAGAAATTTCTTTTTTTTATTTTGGTATCATTAATGAAGAAATTTCTTTAAATATTCATAGCTTTTAGAATACAAATTATATATTAAGGTTTTACCTCAGGAAATTAAAAAAGAAATTAAACCAAAAACTCCTGAAGCAAATAAAACATCCAAAAATCCTTCAAGATTCTCCTGTTATGTGACAGTTGTGTGTAAAAGTGAATATATATATACATATATATATATATTCATCTGTAAAATACATAAATACAAAAAGTCCAAAACATCTAATTAAATAAAAAATTCAAACAAGACCCAAGTATGTTTTTTAAAAAATTATGGACAATAAACTCATACAACAGCACAATGGAGCAAATGATAAATTACATTCAGGACCAATGGATTTCAAAACTCAGTTATTAATGTTTGCATAATAACTAAGACCGCAACAAAATTTAATTATGTCAGGTCTTACACCTCTGCTGTTTGACCCAATAAAGCCTCTATCATATCTCTCAACTGTCTTTCATATTATTCTCAAATTAATCTCAATCTGCACAATTTGGTATTCTATTTTAATTAATGATAAGATCTGAACCATGAAATTAAATCTGTAGAAAAAACCATGTGCAAACCTTGGGTCTTTGACTCATACATAGACTGAAATGAATGGATGATATTTTTAAAAAGTGTATGACTATCCTTTAACTGATAAGTGAGTTGCCTGTAATGCCAGTGGAAACTCTGTGTTAAGCAATACTTAAGTCCATTTCAAAATATTTCACATAAAATACACCAACTAACAAAATTGAAGAAGAAATAAGTTGATTTGAATATTAAGTACATGCTGAACAGTTATTTTACTAAGCTAATCAATACACAACTTTACCACAATTTTTTACACTAAGCCAAAAGAACTTCATAAATCCTCCAAATGAATCAATATACAATTTTAAATAAAAGTACCAGTATATATCAGATGATTCTGAATTTTAGAAAATTCAGCTGTGATTAACTATAATCAATTTTTTGAAACCTTAAATAGGCAGGACCAACACAAATGCAAAATTTTAAAATACATATTATAGATGGCATTCATAATAATACCTGGAAGAATTAGTGTACAAAATTAAACAGATATCACTTGAAAAATGTATAAAGAGACATATGACAGCTAGTATCCACCAAAGAATAAATACTAAGAATAGTGGAATATTTCTTAGTATTTTTTACATATGCCTTGATTTAGAAAAACGGTGTTCCATATTTCATTGAAAGAACCTTGTAAACTCAACTCCTCTAAGACATCTGGATTTCCTCTTATATATTACATATATTCCAGTGGCCATCATAATGGGGTTGCTATATTAATTAAATAGATGTTAAATTTTCTAGTATCCAATAGTTAAATAGTCATCTACTTCATTTCCCAAATATATGGCTCCTCCCATAGGGCCTCATATAACATATGCTCAATATAATTAGAGAATTCAGCACAGGTGCTGGAGACAGCATAGTGTAGCAGATAAGAGCTAGGACTCTGACACCGGCTTGCCTGGGTTAAATTCCAGCTCTTAACACTTCCTGTTTGACCTTCAACAAGTTACTTAACCTCTGTGTACATCACTGACACATCTTTAAAGTGGGATTGATAATACTATACTGACTTCATAGGACTTGTTGAGAATTAAATGAGTTAATTTAGGAAAAGCACTTAGAAGCATGTCTAACACACAGTAAGCACCCTTTATATGTTAGTCATTACCATCATGGTCAACCCCATCATTAAAAAATACCCTGTTAAAAGTACCTCCAGGTACAAATGCTGAATTCCATATAGACAGGTAGTCTACTTGCTCAGTATTATTTGGTAGACCACCATGTTAGTGATTATTTTATTTTGAATTTCAATACCTCATTGATATAACCAGAGATTGTCGGTTCTCAAACAATGAAGAATTTTTGTTTCTTGAAAAAAAGTAATATAAAATTTAAAATTATATAAAGCATAAATGAACATTAAGACATAAGAACCAAGTGTAAAGTGTGGCTCTTACTAGGATGCTGATTTGAACAGATCAACTTCAGGGTATACACTTTTTGAAAACTGGTATTTCTCAAATCAGTATCCCTCAAATTCTAAAAGCCTACAAATTATCTAGGGATTTTATTAAAATATAGGTTCTGATTCAGCACGTCTGGGGTGAAGCCTAAGATTCTGTGTTTCTAACAAGCTCCCCAATGATGTCCCTGCTGCTGGTTCATGAAGCATACTTTGAATAACAAAGAGTTGGATGATACCACGGAATTACTTTTAATTAAACTGTGTATGGTAAAAGTATAGTGGTTATATAAGAAAATGTCAGAACTTTCCAAAGATGCTCACGGAATTATACAGGGGTAAAATGATATGACATCTGGGATTCACTTCAGCAAGAGACAAAAAAGACTTTTGGGTATTTGTTGTATTATTTTTGTGTATGTTTGAAATTTTTATTAAAAAACCATTTACATAGTACATTTCTTATAGGAGCTTAAAAAAAAATTTCTGTAGTGAACTTGCAGAAAATCAATTATATTCAGGATATTCCCTAGTCCTATACAGATTAATTTCCTTTTTCCTAGGCAAAGAAAATACTGACGTCAGGAAGTTCTTTAAAACAACAAAATAAAACAACTAGCTTTTTTTCAAACTTCATTTTCTATCCTCAAGTTTTAAAATATTACCATTAAAAGCTTTAGATTTTTATTTAATGTCTCCCTTCAAACCTGCTGTTAAATTTATTTGGTTCAACAAAGATCTGCTCATGTTTCTTGGAACTTAAATACCTGTGATTGCTCTGAAGTGGTTTCAGAGTGTGATTCACTTCTGATGCCAGTGATGCTTATAGGAGATACTTCAAATGTGACATCATCTAGGCCTGGAATAGATGACAGCTGAAAGAAACAAAATTAATGTTGGCATATGAGAATAATATAGCTTAAACACTGTAAGTTTCTAGGGTGTGTGTGTGTGTATTTAAAGCTCTCTCGGTTTTAAACCTAGTGAATTAAGCTTATAAAAATCTCATCTTTGGTCTTTGAAATTCTTCTTGCATAAACTTTTTAAAAGTGAAAAGCATTCACAAATAGAGTATTTTTGAAGAATTTCTCACAAATCTAACTTAGCTTATAACCATTCTTTTCTCAGGAATTATTTTTAAAATATAAGGGATCCTAGTGTAAGGAATGAGAGCACTGGCTTTGGAGTCAGGCCACCTAGGTTTATGTCACAAGCTATGGGACCTTGCATAATCTTCCTCGGTCTCAATTTTCTCCCTTGTAAAGTGGGGATAAGAAAATTTATCTCAGAAGGTTATTGTAAAAAGATTTTTATGAAACATACTTTGTACAAAAAAAAAGTGCTTTGTAGCATATTTTAAGTTGGAATTATCTGGGAAACAAATCTCTTATCCTACTTAATGTCTGACACAGTTCATTTTTTTTCTTTAGACATTTATCACTGAATGTTACTATGTTATTTTTCACACACAACGATTGGCATGTTGTCTGAGGTTAAACATTTCATGTTGGATTTGCAAGATTCATGCAAACCCTCTTTTCTGATTTTAACCTGATACCAATGATAAACATTTGTCAGATGTTTGGCCAACTTTGAGGATTAACTCTATTGCCATGAAAATAACTAAGGTTAACTTGACCATAAGGTAACTTAATCTGTGACCTTGGACTCTTACTCAAGAATTCCCCAAACATTAAAATAAAACACATATTCATAATAAACAATAATGAAAAAAACCAATGGTAGTTAGATATGAAACAGTGATATTCATTGAGAACTGATGACTGATGACAGTACTTAGCACAGTGGCTGTGGCCCAAATAATTTCAAGTGGGTATGGCTGCTAGGAGAATATCTTGAATATATTCAAGGCCAGGTATCTTAAATTTTCTAAGCAATTTTGTAAGAGAAATATAATGGCTGAAGTCCACAAGAAGATGCAGAAAGTAAAGACTAGACGTTCTGAGCCTTATGATAAAGATATGTCATTGTACTTCCTCATAAATATTCAATAAGTACTTTTTCAGATCAAAGATTTTTGATAAAATAACAAAGTTACAAAAAGTACACTAGCATTTCTACAGCATGGAGAATATAGTCAATGATTCTGTAACATCTTTTTACGTTGACAGATAGTAACTGCACTAGAGGGGGTGAGGATTTAATAATATGGGTAACTATGGAAACCCTGTGTTGTGTATCTGAAACCAACGTAAGATTGTATATCAACTTCAATAAAAAAAGAAAAAAAATATATATATACACACACTAGTGTTTCCATTATTTTATAAATAGGAAATATCACAAAGATCTGCATATTTTCATATCAAAATACCTTCCTATTTTTTCTAAGAAGCTTTTGTAATTTCTGACATCAAAATTGGTATTACTATTTAATGTATTCCTACATACCATTAATTACCTAATAATCTAAATACTATTTAATGTATTTACAAATGGAAAATAGCTGATATTCCCTCCGAATTTTGCTCTGGAGATATTTAAAGTTTTATATAATTTTTAGTGTATTATCAAATGATTACTATTAAAATAAAAGTGAATCTTCCATCAAATGAAATAAACAGTTTAATTTGTTAACTTGTTACACTGAGTTTGACTACTACAATGAAAGAAATCTCAGTCCATGTAAACATTTAAACAGACTCAATTAATGGTTCATAATGTATATAATTTTGTGCAATTATAATGAAATTAAAATAACAAAAAACTATAGCACTGCATGGACACGTAAGCTAAATTGAATTCATTGCCAAGTGCAATTAAAGTTAAGTATGACTGAGAAAGTTGGTACATGTAGAGCAAAGTTTACACTATAAATTATTCAGAAATACAAACCTTTGCATCTAAAATATTGAGAGTTGTTTCAATTTGTTGGATACGAAGAGAAAGGTCTGCCAATTTCTGGAAAAGAAAGATTAGAAACAAAAGAACAAAGTCTGATTAAAAAACTGTTAACAAGGATAACAGCAGATTTGAAAATAATAAAAACTATGGCTTAAATATTTGTCATTTTCTCATATACTACTCCCTTATTTACATGACTAGGAATGTGAACTAGCATTCTATTATCTTCATTAGCATGCTCTATGGTTATTTCATAAAATTGTATTCACAGGTAAGTTACAATTTTCAGCCTTATCAAATTCATTATCAGAGCCATAGTCAATCACTGAAACTAGAATGTAAACTCTTCCCAGGACAGTGTTTTGTTCACCGCTATACCTCTGTGCTCAGAATCATACTTGACACTTAACTGGAGCCTAGCCTAATAATTATTTGCTGATGAATGAGGGAGTTCTTCATAAAACGTAATAAAAAAAAATTAGCCCAAGGCAGCATGAAACAGGGTCTGCTTTCATAAATTACTTAAACACATACATATACACACTCAGTTCCAAGTTCAAACTTTTCAAGTTTGAAAAGTGAAAGGGGATGAAATAGGAAAAGGAGCAGCTCATGTTGAGAAAAATGAAAACAGAAAAATTAAAATGAGTACTAAAATATCAAGAGGAATCAATCTACTATAAAAATCCAAGATAAACTAGAACCAAGAGCTCACCATGTTCTAGTTATTCTGTACAGTTAAATTATCCATATATCCACACACACACACACACACACAAATAAAAGTAACACCATAAAATGTGACCCATAAAAACATCTATTTAGAATTCCCTGATCCTCAGCTCTTATATTCAGTGACACAGTCCAGGAGCCCAGGACAGCGTACTGTGTGGCAGATGCGCAGCATTCTGACTACTTTCTGGGGTGTTAGCAAGATCCTCATGAACTCAAAACCAGAATTGTGACACCCCAAGAAATGGTCATGCTGCCCACATTTATAGGGGGAGCAAACTAAAGCAAAAGCAACCACAGACAAGATAGTGCTTCTTCACAAGACACTTATTTTTAAGATAAGTATCTTGAATCTTAATATCTACTAAGATATAACTTAGAAATAAAACATTAAAATCTAGTTTTAGTGGCACTTAAAGCTAAGTTTAATCTTGATATCTAGGATTTGTTCTCATATGGCTTTTATGTAAACAGGTTTATAAGTGATGAATTCCTCTCCAAATTATGTGTGTTTTTCTGAAAATGATGGAAATTAAATTTTGGGAAATTTAATTAGTCTTTTAATTCACTATGAAGTTCACTAATTGCAGAAATCCTACAGCAAATTGTAAAGGGAATGGTAATTTCTAACTTACTTAGAAATGCATACATTGGTTTGATTAAAGTGAACACAGAAGAAATTGAATGAGAAATATGAATTAAAAATTTGTTTTAATATAATTACATATGTACTTTTAAGCAACCATCATCATCAACACTTAAGCATTTACCTTACTCTGCTATACTATATATATGACATATTCACATCTCACACCAATTCTATGAAGTAGGAATTACTATTACAACAATTTTAAAGATGACAAAACTGAGTCTTCATACAAGGCAACTAAGTTAAACTCAAGCACTCCAACTCCAGATACTATTTTTCAAAGAATTTTACATTGTTAAGACGTGATGCCATAGACTCTGGGAGATGATGATCTGTCAATGGAGACTGTAATGAACTGATTGTAAGAAAGGCACCCGAACTGGTGTGGGATGATGGTGGGGGAGGTGGTGTCCCAAGGAGGGGAGACAGGGTGCATGTGGGAACTCTCAGCTTTCAGCTCCATTTTGCTGTGGAACTAAAAATGATCTAAAAATAAAGTTTATTAGTTAAATGAAGAAACAAACACGATGGAATATTCTCCCGTTTTGCATAGACAGAATTTTTGTTATTCAAAGCTAATAAATGATCAATCTGCTTCTCACTAATACTAAGGTGCTACTGTGTTAAATACTGGGAATCAAATTTTTCTGATTAAATTTCCTAAAGGAGATGCGGTTTATCTGAAATTATTAAAAAATTGGTATTAAATTTTTTTTCAGGGTTTAGATCATAAAATAAATTGTCCTTAAATGGGTATTCAAATATTTACAGGGTAGCTTAAGGATTAAAATACAGGTATTAGTAAATAAGGGAACATGGATGAACATGTTTATGTGGAAAACTATTTTTTGATAGTGAAGATTAAAATGGCATGAGGAAAAGAAGTTGTATTTTCAGCGCAGTAATTCTCAATTTTGTTTGGATGCAGATTCATCTGGTCTTTCAATCTTTTTAGCACCCATTTTACCTACTCTCATCTACTATTACTAAAACCTCACCAAAACTTAATCATCTGTTTTTTTAAATGAGATTATATGGACGATGTATTCATTTAAGATATGAAAGACACTGACCTAAATATCAATATATTTTGATTTATAATAATGTATCTGAATATCCTTGATATTTGATCTAAGAACATCCAAAATTGTGAAGTATAAAGAAATCTGAAATAACTATTATTTAATAAAAAAGATCCATGATTTCTACTGGTAAGAGTCATAGGTCCTAAAACTACTATAATTTTTGTTTACTAAATATGAATAATATGTGAAATTTAAGGTAGAGGTAAATAAAAATAAAAAGTTTTTTTTCCCACCCAAGTTCATATAATCCAAGTGTAGAATCAGTACGTAAGTGATTTCCTCAAAGTCAGATAAACAAAAGGCTTTTCCTCCTGGCTAGGGAAGATCTTTTTTATGGATAAATCATATCATTATTTCATTATCCACAAAGGTATTATCCATCTTTTCTGGAGCTGGTTTTTTGAGAGTTTAAAATATTAACTATGTTATCTGGATTATATAACTTGATGCTTTAATAAAGGGCATATTACTGTAACACAAATTTGAGTTTTTTAAAGCATAGTTTCTTTTGTAATCCTATGCATTCTATGTTAGGCATTTAAAAACATAAATTTTGTTTCACTAGACTGCCAAAGAGTCAATGGCACAAGAACCTGTATGTATCAAAGATAATTAAGGATAATAAATATTTTTGAATTTGTCCCCATGTAATTATTGCCATAACACACGAGTACATATTTTTTAGAAAGCCATTGTCACTTGACAAAATATACCTGGCTTCATTTATGGGCTGCTGAAGTTCATTTCTAAGATTTTATGCTGTCTACATTTTCCTTCCACAACCTCAGACAACTATAAAGCAGATTACTCAACCTTGGCACTATTAGACATTTTGGGCTGGCTAATTGTTGTTAGGGTCTGTCCTGTGCACTACAGAATGTTTAGCAGAATCTCTGACCTCTACTCGCTAAATGCTGCTAGTACCCTTCAGTTGTGAGAAATAAAACATCTCTAGGCATTTCCAAATGTTCCCTGGTTCAAAATCATTGCTCTAACGTGTAGATGACTATGGAGAGAAGTAACATAACCAATAACAGTAACTGTCACTATCTCTGAAAGTTTTAACAGAGAGGAAATGGAAAGGTAACAGTCTTTCTCATCCATTTAACCATCTTCTTTTTTTTTTTTTTTTGGTATCATTAATCTACAATTACATGAGGAACATTATGTTTACTAGACTCCCCCCATCACCATGTCCCCCCCACATACCCCATTACAGTCACTGAACCATCTTCTTATCTTTATAAGGATTTAAAACAACCTGAAATACCTTAGTTTGAGACAACAGAGGAATTCACAAGGTATGTGAAGTTTGCCACATATTTCTAAGGTTATGCATTTTATTTATTAAAGTGCAAAAGAAAACAAAAGGAAGAAATATGGAGTTAATAGTTAACATGGAAAAAAAATGACATACTGTGATTTTTCTAGTTCTCTAAAAGAGACATTTAACACAATGCATCTCTTGGTATATCACACTGGGTTGAAAATGTCCTACAAGCCAGGAAGGGAAGCAATCACCAGTTTTATTAAGTTTCATCTGACACTTAAGCCCAGCAGTTGTAAAACTGTAAAAGCAGTTGTAAAAGTTGTAGCAGTAAACAGGATTTTAAGCAAAACATTACTTGCTTGAAGGTTAAGTCTGATGTTGGGCTTACAATTGGATGTAGAAGATAAGCACTGTAAAATTTTTTATTTTTGAGAATTACATGAGAATTCTCAGCACATTTGCCTATTCTTAAAGACTTTAGAAAAAAGAAACCTTTTAGAATATTTTAAAAATGATTAAAAGTCTCCTATTCTAGGCATGTTATAAGTCTGAGTCAAAAACAGCACAGCTGACGGCCCTGTTTATTGAGTGCTTTTGACTTTAAATTCACTGTAAGGTTAAATTTCTGCTCTGTTTCATCTGCAAAATGCACGGAGCTTATGTTGCCTCTCCCCCCGCATCTGGTCAGCCCGTTTTAAATGTGCAGTCCCAATGGACCTCCGTAAGATTTTGCTGATTAGGGACAGAAGAGAAATGGTTACCGGGGACTTGTGAAGGAAGACGAGATGACCCTAAGTAATTGTAACTTGGTTTGATTCAACTAACCTCTCTCTTATCTTGGTGCCCTTGTCATTAGAAGGTTTACAAAGTAGCCTGGAATCTAGAAAATTTTTTAAAAATTAAGTTATTCATTTTCATCTTTATTAGAGAATTCTAAAACCAGTATTAGTGATGAAGAAAGAGACTGAGCAATTGTTTTCAACTTTAATTCTGGTTTGAGTTTAGCTGTGACTGAAGTTGTTACAGTTTGGATTTAGTTCAAACCAGATTATATGGAAAACAAAGAACAAAAGAGAAAACGAGGTTTTCTTTTTCTCTCAGTTCACTTCCAGTTCAAAAAATAAGAGCTGAGGTTTATTTTTTGTTAAGGGAAATATAGCTGTTTTGATTCTGGTTAAGGCTTGAACTAAACAAGTACTATAAAGGTCTAATAGTTGCTATTAACACATTACAACCCATTGTCTCAACTTGGGAAAAGTGGCACTGCATATTTGATTAAATATATTGGAATTTAACATATCAAAAAAAATACATTATATCCAGTAGATATGGCACAGAAAAGAAGAGGATAAACATCTAAAAAATAAATGTTGAAATAGCTATAAAGAAGACACTGCCATCTCTCATTTGAAAATGATGTAAACACGCCTCTTATTCAGATCAGAAGGTTCAATATAACAGAAGAGTGAGATATTTTTGTTTTTTCCAGTTAATAGATCAAAATAGGAATCTCAGTTCTGTTATTTTCTAGCTGTGTGAGTGTGGGCAAGGTAGAGCAGCTACTGAAGCTATCAAATACATGTTGAATAACTGAATTAATGACTAAGCAGATGATTTAAACTTCTCTACATCTCAGTTTCTGTATTTCTAAAAAAGAGATAATTGCACCTCTCAAAGGGCTGGGCTGTGATGATTAAATACATGCGAAGCACTTAGTAAAATGCCTAGCACAGAATAAGCACACAATACTCATTAGTTACTGTCAGCACACCAGGGAAACAGTCTAGAATTGACATTAATACCCAAACTGCTAAAATAAGGATTGTAAAAATGAGTTATGGTCAAGCCTACATTATCATCCATTAAAGAAAAAAGGGCAGCAAACTACGTTCAAATTTCATGAATTTTTGCTCAACATTTTTCTCTGGAGTTCAAGGAGAAAACCAGGGATACAATCAATACAGTTGGGGGCAAGTTGAGACAGGAACAGAAGGGGAGAAAAGAGTGAATCATGAGGCCTTCATAATAAGCAACCAGTAAACCAAGAGAGGATAATATCAAATTTGATCTAGTTTCCACTAAACAGCACTCACTCCCCAGGCAGTGAGAGCTATAAGGAACTACAAAGGGGAGGAGGGTTATCCTTGTTGCAGGGCAGCTCAATCAAGTTGCTTTCATAGGTGTGTTTGCTGGTGGTGATGAGGAGTTTGGGGATGGAATATTTGCTCCTCTCTGTTTATAATCCTGGAATAGTCCCTCTGCAGATATTTCCTCACCCTACCTTGGTATAAGAAGTGAAGATCTAAGTCCTTTGCTTTTTAGTCACTCAATTCCATACCCATTTAGGGAGGCAGCAGTTCAGGATAAAACTCATGGAAGCAAGCACCTAGTCCTGGGGCCTGTTAGATAAAAGATACTCAATTGAGCCCCTTACTCTATCAGTTATCATATTTCACTTTCTTTCATCTTAGAGAGAAGGCAGAAGAAAATTTGAAAACTAGACAAAAACAACAGCTATAGTCTTATACATGAGAAAAGTTTTCCTGTCTCCATGTGATTTTTATTGATAACACATCTAATATAAACTACTTGCTAAGACTATACTTTATATATAAAACAGAATGAACTGAGTATTGTTTAATTGACTCACTTGTGAATCATCTCATCTTAACCCCCTTTTTCCTTTCTTGAGCCCAATTTCAATCCATGGTTCCTGTTTTCCTACCCATTCTCTATTTTTGCTTTTTTTTAAAAAAAAGACAGGGGTCCCAAGATCTGGTGCCTAATCCTTAATTGGGTAATTAATCCTCACTTTATAAAGTCATTTGCAGAAACTGTTCTTATTTCCATAGTGATATTTGATGACAAAATTATGTTTCTAGGCTACCTCCCCAACCATCTTTAGCTCAAGCAATGTAAAACAATTTTAATATAAACTTAAATGTAAACCTTTGGGGTAAGAGAAGCAATTTCAAAATAAAAATGTTTTCAACTGTGAAATCTTATAATTTGTTTTCTTTAGTCACAATAAACTTTACTGAACTATTGCACAAAGGCCTCCAGAAAACTAATTCAGCAGAAGTGGGGTGCAAGATTGATGGTAATAGAATCAAACAGGATTTAAAGCATGTTAACAAAATAATGCAGTGACAAGAGGCCATGGTAAATGAATACATCAGGACTGTAATTGTGTATTACTCATTAGACACCTTCAAAAGTGCAAGGTGACTTCTAGGCTACTCATTAAACTAATACCACAGGACCTACCTCCTCACAAACTGTAGAAAAGCGGTTGAGGAACTGTACAGTGTGCACCACAAATTGGTTTAGAAATGCCACGGTTCTTTTCTGTTGAATAGCTGGCACCTGTTTTGTAAAAAACATACATAATTCGTACGGGAGTTAAGTAAACTGTGCAATCCTTCTCACTAATAATTAATAACCGGCGTTTTGCTGTGTGTAATGAGTTACTCCAAACACTGAAGAGTCAACTTGTTTTCCGAAATTGTGAGGGATGGGGTGTCTTAAGACGACAGAGGCTGCTAACTTTGGTAAACAGGCTCTGGATTCACAAATGTGAACTTCAGACGGTAAAGGCAACACACACAAGCACACCAAAAACTTGGGGGCCGAATAAACGTAGCGTTAGAGGTCGCACCAGCCCATGTCTCCAGCGGGTCACCCTTGGGGGCAGGCTCGTGACAATAGGAAAAACGAACGCTGGGTGAGGCACACGACCCTCTTAGCTCAGGAGGGCCTCCTTTTTTAAAGTGAACTGTGGGACTCTCCTTTCCGAGGCCCGCGGTCAGGGCTGGGCCTGGAGAGATGGGGGTCTCCTTGAGAATTGAGCGCCCCTTCCCCATCCTCCTCCCAGGTCGCCAAACTAGACCGCCAAACTTCAACTAAAAACAGAATGAACTGAGTATTGTTTAATTGACTCACTTGTGAATCATCTCATCTTAACCCCCTTTTTCCTTTCTTGAGCCCAATTTCAATCCATGGTTCCTGTTTTCCTACCCATTCTCTATTTTTGCTTTTTTTTAAAAAAAAGACAGGGGTCCCAAGATCTGGTGCCTAATCCTTAATTGGGTAATTAATCCTCACTTTATAAAGTCATTTGCAGAAACTGTTCTTATTTCCATAGTGATATTTGATGACAAAATTATGTTTCTAGGCTACCTCCCCAACCATCTTTAGCTCAAGCAATGTAAAACAATTTTAATATAAACTTAAATGTAAACCTTTGGGGTAAGAGAAGCAATTTCAAAATAAAAATGTTTTCAACTGTGAAATCTTATAATTTGTTTTCTTTAGTCACAATAAACTTTACTGAACTATTGCACAAAGGCCTCCAGAAAACTAATTCAGCAGAAGTGGGGTGCAAGATTGATGGTAATAGAATCAAACAGGATTTAAAGCATGTTAACAAAATAATGCAGTGACAAGAGGCCATGGTAAATGAATACATCAGGACTGTAATTGTGTATTACTCATTAGACACCTTCAAAAGTGCAAGGTGACTTCTAGGCTACTCATTAAACTAATACCACAGGACCTACCTCCTCACAAACTGTAGAAAAGCGGTTGAGGAACTGTACAGTGTGCACCACAAATTGGTTTAGAAATGCCACGGTTCTTTTCTGTTGAATAGCTGGCACCTGTTTTGTAAAAAACATACATAATTCGTACGGGAGTTAAGTAAACTGTGCAATCCTTCTCACTAATAATTAATAACCGGCGTTTTGCTGTGTGTAATGAGTTACTCCAAACACTGAAGAGTCAACTTGTTTTCCGAAATTGTGAGGGATGGGGTGTCTTAAGACGACAGAGGCTGCTAACTTTGGTAAACAGGCTCTGGATTCACAAATGTGAACTTCAGACGGTAAAGGCAACACACACAAGCACACCAAAAACTTGGGGGCCGAATAAACGTAGCGTTAGAGGTCGCACCAGCCCATGTCTCCAGCGGGTCACCCTTGGGGGCAGGCTCGTGACAATAGGAAAAACGAACGCTGGGTGAGGCACACGACCCTCTTAGCTCAGGAGGGCCTCCTTTTTTAAAGTGAACTGTGGGACTCTCCTTTCCGAGGCCCGCGGTCAGGGCTGGGCCTGGAGAGATGGGGGTCTCCTTGAGAATTGAGCGCCCCTTCCCCATCCTCCTCCCAGGTCGCCAAACTAGACCGCCAAACTTCAACTTCAAACTTTCACAAACCTTGGTCAGGTCTATGCCTGACCCCATGAGAGGAAGTCCATCCTCATCCATGTCAGCGGGCGGGGGCCTAGGGATCACCCTACGACAAACCCCTCCCAGCTGCGACCCGCCCAACCCGGTAGTAGCATCCAAACACCTCCCCTAGTCCCCGCCTCCTGGTCCGTCCCGCCGGAAGGAAACGCCTCTGCCCTCTAATCACTCTGCAGCTCCCATAGAGTCCGCCCCTTTGCACGGCATTCTGGGACTCGTAGTTCTAAGCCGCCTTTTGACGTCAGCCGCGCGAGCATAGGGTATCACAAGGCTGAGGATTAGCAGTTAAGTCTTAAAGAGAGTATAAGTAAAAAGAAAATTTGCGGCCGTTTGAAGTTATCCCTGCTTAGATCTGTCTGTTACATAAGGAGATAAGTCATTCTTCAATAAGATATGTATGTTTTTTTATTATATATATATATAGCCTACCCACTGCCAGATACTCTTGTTTCTGCATTAGAGAGTCTTATGCCCTGAAGGAGATAAGACTTGTTTCCTAAGGACTATAAAACATGAAATAAAGTGTCAAATGCAACAGGTAAGGCAGAAATTGATGGCAAAAGACATCCACTTAGAGATATCATTAAAAAGGTTCAGCAGATACCTGGAAGGAACTTTGTATCTGGGATGGGAAGATCTTGGTTCAGACTTTGACACCAGTTTACTAGCTGTGTGATCTAGGACAAGTCACCAAACCAAAACAACCCTTCCTATGTACCAAGCAAGATGCCCAGTGCTGAAAATATGAAGACGAGAATTATCTGTGCCTTCAAGAAGGTTAGAGTCTAGGGCAGACACATGGAGTTAACAAGTGCTGCATAGAATTAGACATGCAAACAATACTGAGAAAGTTGTGTGTGTGTGTGTGAACACATAGCTGTGCACACACACCCACAGAGGTGCCAATATATCATTGATAAAAGGTGCTTCTATATCATATGAGAAAGCTAGATAAAGAAGGCAGCTTTTTAACAGGTACTTGAGTGGTTATACAGGCAGTCGATTTGGGTGTATGGCATGTAGCATCCCCTTGCTTTATCTTAGCAGGTATCATACGTTTCTGTCTGCCTGAATGCCTACTAGACTATTGAGTTAGAGCTGAGATTCTGCCTTGTTCATTTTTAAAGTCCTAGCCCACTGTCAGACCTATAGTAAACCCTCAGTAAGTATCTGTTGAATGACATTTGGGCCTAATGACCCTTATGCTTCCACATCTTAGTTGATCTTGCACGAACCTTTGATTTAGGTGGGACTCATAATTCTGGGTAGACTCAGTCAGTCACCTTGAGCAAAGTCTGTAACTGGTCAGTTTAGTGTTTCTTTCCAGAGCCAGGAGAGGTTCCCAGCCTGGAGGAAAAATAAAAAACCAGACAATCACTTCTTGGTTATGTTATCTGTAAGTAGTGGGTATGCACATATATATTAAAGTTCTTATAATAAGTAGATGAACTTGTTCTCAGTTGACCAACTGACAAAAATTTTTTTTCAAAGTGGTTTGATTTCTTTAAAAAAAAAAAGACAAGTATAATGTTAGATGTGAATTCTGGTTATCAGAAAGAAGAATGGCCATTTCTCTCTGCCTCCTAGATCTTTAATGATTACTGTTCTTCAGTCATCTATACCTTTGACAGAAGTGCTATTCACACTCAACTGGATTTCCAGGACTATTAAAAATAATCTATAGCTGGGAGTCTTGGCCAGTGGCCAGAAATCCTCCAAACTATGTACCCCTTCCTCCAGGGTTTCTCTCTTTGGATATGAATTACTAGACTTCATTTGCTGTTGTGAATTTTGGAAGCACAACTAGTAGATTGTAATGAGTTCTGAGCTCAAAGGGAAGAGACTATATATGTCACTTGCATATGTCCACCCATACAAAATCTTAAGACTTTAAAAATAATTCTTTGTTTCCATAGCAGATTACTAGAAAATCACTTCTTTAATTTTATCAGGAGTAAGTTCTTAAGGGAAATGAGAATTGGGGTCCTATTTTTCTTCTGTTTCTTTCTGCTGTGCTTTAGGATGAACCATTACAGGAGTATGGCATTGGTTCATAACATGGAAAAATAGAATTAAAGTCCTTTATCTCTGCCTCCAAACCCCTCAAGAGTCATAGAAATCATCTATTGGGATTTGGTTAAGTGAAGGAATTTTAGCCTACTTATTTCAATTATGTTTGAGGGCAGACTATTTCAGACTACTTTTAATTGTTCTGGCTTTTTGAACTTCACTCAGAAAGTTCGGTTGTAGGCTTATATCCTCTAGGCAGGGACTGGCTGCCTCTCTAGAAAGCAGACCACCTCAAGAGATCTAAAGATATTCCAGCTAGGGGATCCCCAGTAAAACATCACATAGCCCGAGGATGACCCTGCTCTCTTTGAGGGGGTTGGGGAAAGGTCTTATTGTTGCATTTGCATCCGTAGGTTTTAATTTACAGGGGTAACTGAGTGATGACACAGACAGGCTAATGCTGTTGAAAGAATTTACTTTGATTTTCCAAGAGGAGAAGGCATGCCATGCCACACAGGGCCATAGGGGAGACACCAATGGTTAGGTGTCTTTGTTTAGGAAGCAGGAGCCAGGGGAAAACCTAGACCAGCACCTTTACTGGGATTTCTGGGGAAAAGACAAGTTAGGGAAGGGGAAACAGTTGAGGATTAGCTAGTTTGAATGATTCTGTCAGGTTTTGGGACACAGAAAGTGTCCCTAGTTTTCTGTACTTGGTCTAGGTAAATTTGGGGCAGGGCAAATATTGGCTTGGGGTATGAGTTAGATAAGCAGATGGTTGGGGGTAATGGGATCAGGATTGGTTGGTTTACGTATAAAAAATGTTTCCAAATTAATTGTTTTACTGTTTTTAGGAATTAGCTAGTCCTGGGAAAGGCAGTCTGTCCCAGGGTCTATAAGGCCACAAATACCAGAGCGTCATGAATACAGAAAATACAAAAATATAGTTAATAGGCCATGATGAATGGATGCTAAAGACAAATACTGAATCTTAAGAAAACACAGTAACGCTCACCTTTCAGTATGTGGATTTTAGGTAATTCTTTCAGCAAGGCACCTCACCCCTGTCTAGAGCTTCATCCAATTTCTCAAGAAGTTATCAGAAAGGAAGGAGTAGCTGCCTGGCTATGAAAGTCAAGGGGAGGACATTGTGGGAGAGGGTGGTCTAATCATTCCCCATCCAAACATTTAATCAAATCTCCTGTTCTAATAAACCCCAATGTATTGTGCCCCCGTTCAGAGGAACTGATGCCCCAAGAAATTCAAATGTCTTAATTTCCCTTAGAAAATAATGCCACTTCTCTTCTTTTAATCCTTGTAACACACTTTACTTTCATCACTCCTTTGACACTTAATACATACCTACCTTTATCTTTCTGTGATCATGTGGTGTTGTCAATCTCTTTGTAATTTCTTTGGGGTTAGAGGCCAGTTTCCATTTCTTTATATTCCCTTACACCTACTATAGAACCATGAACAGCATAGTCAATATCTGCTCATTTTAAGAACTTATTACAAAAGGGAAATATGGAAATATAAATACCGTGGAAAACTTAGTTAAGAAAAAAGCATAGGAGGAAAAAATGTCACTGTCTTGCCAATGGGTTTCAGCCCCGGGCAAGTTCTCTATGGATTAAATGAGACTGAGGAATGACAATGGAACGTTCTGGGGTGAAAGAGTTTATACCTAACTTTATTCCCACGGTGGCAAGTCAGTTACTAGAATCCCGTCCACCCAGAGCAAGTGGACGCTTCTACATGCAGCAAGCCGGTCTCTGCCTCTGGGTCTATCTGCCCCAGCTGTCTCAGTCTCTGAGTACCACCATGTTGCCCTGAGCCTGGGCGGAGCTCTTTATGTGTCAGTAGCAACGTATTGTCCACACATGTGTTGTGAGCTAGCTAACCAGGACCAGGTGAGAATCCTGGCCATTAAGAACCTTCACTTTATCCACAGTCACCCACAGTCATTCTTCTTAAAAGTAACCATTACCACTTTTATAGAGCTCTTTATCCTGAATTCACTAAATCAGATTTTTTCCCCCATTGGTAGGGGTATAAATGAAGTGGGCCTCAGTCATGAGTCATTGCTTAGCTTTGTACACCTAAAGCAGTCTGTCTTCTTCAAATAATAACCGTCTCCATTTATTAAAAAAAAAAAGGCAGCAAATGATGCCACTATCAGCTGCTTCTAATTAGCCTCTCCTGGCTGTTTCAGTAAATGACTCAGCACCTGGACTTCTTAAAGTGGTCAGGTTATTTTGAATCATAACCGCATAAAATCACTTAACACTACTCTGGGAGTTCAATATCAACATTTCTTCCTGTAGCCTTGCTTCTGGAGTCCAAAATGATGTTAGAACCTTTGCTATTACCCTTTGAAAAATAACTGAGCCAGAAGTTATGAGCCAGTCAGTCTAGGAAAGTAGTTGACAATATTTTTCAGTATGAGAGGCCCTTTTGTAATAGCAAGAAATTTTTGAGGAATCCTAGATGATTGTGGTTGGATACTTAATGTTCACTGAATGTGCACACATTGTTGAGGATTTAAAATAGCAGTATTAAATGGAAATGGGTGAATTATATTAGGAAATTCATCTTAAAATCCCAATTTTTCATCAAACGATAGTATTTCATTTCTTTTATTTTCCAGGCTAGTTCTATTAGTTTTCCTGTAATACATCCTGGTTTAGAGTCTTACCTCTTGTGTATCATATAGGCAGGAATGGTTAAAAGTATTCTGGCCTTCATCTGAACACCAGAGCCAAACCGGGAGTCACATAATAGGTATCAAGATGACAGGCACACCTTGGTTCATCTGGGAACTTTTTAACCCTCTGAAGATTTCCAAATGAGATCTCTAAAAAAAAAAATCACTCTTCTCTGAATTGGAGGAAGTGTTCATTGGCAGGTCATTCTTCCTACTACTTGTTAATGGTGTTTTGAGGGTGGAAGAGGCAGATGGCACAACATCTGAAGTTAACATGTGCTACAATGTAGGGAAGTTGGGGTTCCTATGGCCAGAATCCTCACTGAACTTAAACCACTTGATGTAACGGGCCTGTTACTAGGCTACTACTTCCACAATAAGCTATTATGGCGCTATGTAG